ATAGAGCCTTTGAAAGGAAGAGATGTAGAAAGGTGACTTTCTATCGTGGATGTCCAGCGGGATTAATATTCAACCATGGCAATCATAATAAGGGTGTCCCCCCAGATAAAGTCTACCTAAATTTTCACATATAAGACTGAACAATGAATTGTAACTGCAAAAGACTTCTTAATGATGGCAATGATGGCTGTTAAAATGCAGTTCTTCAAATTTTTTAAAAAATATTTTATATTTATAGCCTGATCACATGGCATTATTTGATTGATGTGACTTTTCTCTTTATTAACATTCGGAATCCTGGATAATTCAATACCTTGGATTCTTTGGTCTCTATCATCCACATAATCAATCACAAGGATCATAGATTTAAAGCCAGAAGGGATATTAGAGGTAATCTAAATTCAACTCCTGCCTTTTACAGATGAGGAAGCTGAGGTCCAGAGAGTTTAAATAACTTGCCTAAAGTCACATGTATAGTAAGTGGCAGGGCCAGTATCTGAACTTAGATACCCAAACTCCAAACCTGGCATTCTTTCCATTATACTGTGTCTCCTCTAGTTTGTAAGAAGGAGTAAATACATCTTGAAATTCAGTTAGGGTCTTGGGAACAGACTTTCTTTTTCAATCTACCATTTAATGTGTTTAAAATCTTTATTGCCCTACATAGAAGGAGCCTAAAATAGCCTTCCAAAGTGCTAAATGCTTTCTAATGATATAACACACTCCCAGAAGGCTCAAAGGCTTTGTGGGTGAATGTGAAAGTTAAAGAGGTAAATATCATGGAACACTTCAACGAATGTCAAAGGTAAAAATGAAACTCTGCATGTGCTAATTCCAGAATTGATCCTGTAGATTTTCTGGGCATTATCACTGTATGTTATTCCTTCCACCCCAAATCTGAGTCAAGAATGTGGTATTCATCCTGATACTTTGAAGCCTGAAAAAAACCAAATTTGAATCTTGATAATCACTAACTAAATGTATGTTAAATGGATTCTATCTCAGTATACATAGATGTATTCCTAAAGTTTAAAAACTCAAAGAGGATAGCAAGTATTTCCCACCTTCCTATATCAAATAATTAATTACTATATCACTTTTCCTTTGTGGTATCAAAAAGACATATTAAAATTAATTTTCAGTAATAGTTAAATTCTTCCAGAAAAATAATTCAAAAGATATGGGGAGATGTGAGGATTTGTGGCATCAATGATAATTTAATTTTTAGTAATGTACAATACTACCATTCAAAGGATGAATTTGTCAACAAGCTCTAAAACCATACATCTCAAATAGGAATTCCAGATGAGGCTTATTGAATCATAACTCAATCTTTAAACTATCACAGAGGCCTCTTCAATAATTCATTTTTCAGCAAGAGATAGAACTGTATGTAGTCATCAGCTAGACACTCATTAAGGGTCTTCCAACTCTGGTATGAGATTTCTTTACAAATTGTTTAGAATTAGAACTAGATTACTTAACTCCTTAAGATTTCTGCTGAATGTATAATATCGATCATATAATATGTCTCAGATATGAAAACACTTTTATAGCTATGATTTGTTACTCACAAATATGTAGTAGGACAGGACAAGTAAGGCAAGTCCCTTGTCAAAAGCTATGTTTTGTTGAATGATCCTCATTATGAATACCTCCCTCCAACCTCTGAGGTCAGCTAATATCAATTTCACACAAGAGATTGACTACTTGACCTTTAAACCATAAAGTTTTAAAAGAATATATCTTTGTATCTGTGGTTTACAAAAAGATGAAAGCAAAAGGGCAGCTCACAGCTGTATATTTCTCTTAAAAAATCTCTTCTTGTTACATGGGGTAGTTTGAAAATCTCATGATATGTAATCAAAGTGATTTTTAAATGATCACCAGGATCATAGAATCACAGGATCTCAGAACCAGAAGAGAACTTAAGTGGGGGATCTTAACTTGGAGTTCATGACCTTATTTAAATTTTTTTTTGGTTAACTGTAGTTTGATGTAATTGGTTTTCTTTGTAATCCTGTGCATTTTATACATTTAAATACATTATTCTGAAAAGAGATCTATGTCACAAAAAAGTTAAGAATCCCTGCCTTAGAGCTTATCTGGTTCAGACATCTCATTTTACAGATGAAGAAATACAGTCTCAGAAAGTATAAGAGACTTGCCTAAGTTCATACTGTTTAGCAGTGGAAGATCAAGCTCTAGCAGCCATGTCTCATATTCTTTCCACTATTCCTAATAGTTTCTAATGTCATATTTTTATGCTCAATATTTAATTTTAAAATTACTGTCCTAAGAGACTGTAGGGGCCAATCTGTTATTATATAACATAATATAACATTTTAATATTGTGATACATATATTATAGATATTATCTGATAAACTTGAGGACAAGGACTATATCATTTCTATATTTTACTAGTTCACCACAGCTCCTTGTAAGGTGCCCTATACTAGATAATGATGATCAGAGCCATTCTGGTGGACCTTGTTGGTATGTTAAAGCCATTTATAGAATAATAGATTGTAAAGCTGGAAGGGACCTTAGAGGTCATTTGGTGTAACCCCCTCATGATACAGATGAGGAAACTAAGTCCAGAGAAGTGAAGTAACTTGAAGGAAGACTGGGAGATCTTCCCCACACCTACAGTCTGGAATTTCCAGATGCTACCTGGGACCAGTGCCACAACTCACAATTGCTATGTATGTATGTCAGGCTTTGGCAGTCTTACTTTCAGAATCTGAGAATCACTTTGGATCATTGTTGTTCAATCCACATTATTCTTTGATCTTTTTGTCCTTTGTACACATCTTGTTCTTTTCTTCCTCTGCCTTGGTTCATGCTGCTCTCCCTGCTGCATGAACATCCATTGCAAAAAATATCAGAGTGTACAATACACAAGAAAATATACTGGATTCTGGGGATAGCAGAGTGAATAAAGTGATAAGATATAGTCCTTGCCCTCAAGAAGTATATAGTCTAATAGCATAGGATCAACAACTGGCATAATAATAACAATATTTAGCATTTATATATAATAACAATAGTAAGCATTTATATACTGCTTACTATGTGCCAGGCACTGTGCTAAGTGCTTCACAAATATTACTTCATTTGATCATCACAATAATCCTGGGAGGTAGGTGCTATTTTGATACCCATTTTATACTAGAGGAAATTGAGGAAAATAGAGATGATGTAACTTGCCCAAGGCCACATAGCTAGTAAATGTCTTAGTCTGGATTTAAATGCAGGTCTTCCTGACTCCAGGCTCAGATGATAGTCAATATCAAGGATGAAAGTTGAAAAATAAGTTATTACATTTAGACTGTGATGGATTTCCTTGATTTTTTCAGTAAAGTGGGAGGGAAGGTCATCTAGTGTGAGGGAGGGAAGGAGAGAAGGAAGAAAAGAGAGGGAGAGGGAGGAAGATGCTGGGGGTGGTATAAGAGAAAAGGAGAGAAAAAAAGGGTTCATTAGTGAAGAATAAAAAGATTGCCTTGCAGTGGTGAAGGCCCAATTGAGATTAAATAATAAATATTTGAAGGTAACTCAATTGACCTGATATCATGAATTCCTTCAGGAGCATTCAGCAGCACATTATACATTTTCAGTAAATACCTGTTGAAGTCAAACAAGTTAATGATAATTTTACAAGAGGCAGCATGACTTAGTGGCTAGAGATCTACACTTGAAGCCAGGAAGATCTGAGTTCAAGTCCCACTTCCATCACATATTGCTCCATGATCTTTGGTTAGTCACTTACTATTCAGTGTTCTAGGCAATAGTTCTCTAAGACAAGAAGGTGAAACCGGAATTAGTAGACAGAGCTTCCTTATCTAGGAGTTCCTATATGAATGAAATAGGGTCCAGTCTCTAGCCCTTAATGATAAATTATATAGGATAATTACAGAATATGATCTAGATGATACATGGTTAACTTCTCTTACTAGACTCTAAATGCTTTCAGCATATTCCAAGATCATTGAGGTCAAAGATTGGGTCTTACTTCATCTTTGTAGATTCAGCACCTAGAACAGCACCTTGTAGAGTATAGTCACCTGATTAATACTGAATTGGGACTGAGCTTTAGCAGAATAACATAAATGTTTTGATAAGGCTTCTGGAATTATAGAAGATAAAGATTGCCTATTACGTGATGTTTTAAAAGCAAATCTGTTACAGAAACTTCTGAGCTTAAAAGCATTTGTACTTCATTAGCCAAAGTTTTCGGCCAAACAGTCCAATTCCAGAGTCTAGATAATAAAGCCACAGTTATCTTCCCCCCCCCCCCTTTGGCCACAAAAGACTGGCAGAGCATGACAGTGACCTTTATTTACCTCATATTTATTTTGCAGTGTTTACATATAGAAACATGTTGTTTCCCCCCAGGAGAATTGAAAGTTCCTTAAAGGCATGGGCTGTTTGATTTTTGCCTTTGTATCCCTAGTGCTTGATACACAGAAGGTACTTAAAATTCTTGTTGATTGATTGAACCAAGTGAGGGCCAGCTTGTGATTGGGTGATGTTGGATACAAAATAGTCTTTTCTTGTCAATATCATAAAAGAAGCTAATGTTACAGAGAAGGGGGAAATGTCCTTACGGGAGTTATTGATTATGCTTCTGGTTTCTTGTGATGGCTTGCCTATCTACCTGTTTAGGTGCTTGTGTTCATCATCTGGTCCTCATGTTATGTGAGGCCCTCAGACAGGGGGCTAACTGTCCTCAAATGCACTTCATACATCTGGATATCATTTCTCTAATCTTTCTCATTAGCCAGATCCTGAGTGCACAACCTCAGATTGGGAAGGCAGTCAGCTATTAAAAAAACAATAATTTGCATTATTTGTTTCTGCTACAGATGCTTCTGCACTTTTGGCAGATATGCTGACCTAATAAAGAGTAAGTTGTCTTTAGGCAGCATTACAATTTTTTACGGGAAGTCTTTATATACTCAGATTAATAATTTGTTCTTTTAATCTTTTCTTTTTATAGATCAAGAAACCAAGGCCCAGAAATGCCAAGACTTACTTAACTGAGTCAGAGGCAAAGTGCTAGATTTCAAAGGTAACTGCAGTGTTTTGTGGATAGAATTAGCTGTAAAGATGGGGAAAGGCAGAAAGAATTTTTAAGTTATTTAGAAATGATTAATGTGTTGAGGTCCTGTGGCAAAGAGATGAGGTGGAGGAAGTGTGAAAGGAGAAGGCTGGTTCCTAATTCAGTTTATTTTTTCAATCATACTGAAGAACACTGGATTTGAAATCAGTACACCTGGATTTGAATCTAGCATCTGCCCTTTTACTGCCTGTGTGATCATGGAGAAGCCACTGTATCTCTTTGTGCTAATATATTTTCTTCTGCAAATTGAGGAGGTTGGACTAGAGGAGCACTAAGGTCCCTTTCAGCTCTAAATCCTAAAATGTGAAGATCTTATGATGGGGGGGGGACTGTCCATTTGGAGGCATTCTACTTCAGCCAATAGACAGTACAAATAGTTGACTCTCAACTATCCATTGATAGTTTATCCAAATATTGCTATGAATTGTTACCAACACTGTCACCAGTGACTTTTAAGCACTTTCTTTATCAAATATTAGACTCATCAGATTTATTACATTGTTAGCTCCTTGAGGACAGGGACTGATTTCACCTCTTTTTATATTCCCAGTGCTTAGCACAGTGCCAGTCATATAATGGGTGTAATAAATATTTATTAATTGATTGATTGAATAGGATAAATGCTTTTTGACCTTATCTGAGCTGGCATTGGGACAGAGGCTTTTGAAGCCAAGATAAATATCTTTCTACTTGATATGAAGTGCAAATTAGCATATTTTCATGGAATTTAGTACCTTAGCAAGTAATTGGGTACATCAGAGGTGTCAGACTCAAATAGAATGGGGGTGGACCCTAAACTATACACAAAGATACACATAGGCTGCATAGTGATATCAAAAACCACATCTTAACATTATGTAGATTTTATTCTATTTTTGTTTAATTTGTTAAATATTTACTAATTACATTTTAATCCAGTTTGGGAGCACTCAGCATTGTTGTAGGCCGCATGGGGTCAGGTAGCACGTTTGATACCTCTGTCTATTTTGAGAAATGATTTAGTAAATGCCTACAATTAATTGAGAATTCATTTATTCAAAAGAATAAATAAGTAGTGGACCTGCATAAAGAAATTGAATAGAGGGTCTCAGATAAAGCTCTTGCTAGTCGGTAATTCAAATTTTCTCTCCAAGTCTCAGTTTATCCATCTATAAAATGGGGACAATACTTAAGTTATAGAATTATTGTGAGAAAAAAGTTTTGTGAATAGTAAAATACAATATAAATATGTTATTAATTTTATTTTGTTCAATATATTATCATTCAGTGATACCAACATTGGGTTGTAAATATAAAATCACCTTCTAAAGTTAAATGTAAATTATTTTGGGATCATTCATTATTTTGGCTTTAAAATGTTATTTTTTAAACTAGTGCAGTGGATAGAATTCAGGGCTTGGAGTTAGGAATTCTTGAGTCCACATCCAGACTCAGACACTTACTGGCTGTATGACCTTCCACAAGTCACAACTTCTCCCAACCTCATTTTCCTCACTATAAAATGAAGTGTTTGAACTCAGTGGCCTCTAAGGTCCCCTCTGGCTCTAAATCTTTCCCGAGTTTATGATATACTGTGAAAATAGGGTCTTCATAACAAAATGAAATATTTTGTCAAGCAAAATAATACTGGATTGCGAAGAGAATCATAGTGTTGGCTGCCAGCTTAGACATAATACAGTTAAGGACCCTCATTTTGTTGGTGAGAAAACTAAGGTCCAGAAAAGTTCAGTGATTTGCTCACGGTAAGTCACCTTGCTAATAGCAGAGCCAACACTGGAACCTGGATTTCAGACTTTCAGTTAAGTAGCTGAGAGCAAACTTTTTAAGAGGTGATTTTAAAACATTTTTGCATGTACTTCTGATATGTTAATTTACTAAAGAAGATCTAAAAAGGACCTCTACTTGGAAACACTAGTAGTTAAGACAAGTTACTGCATGTCTTTGAAAGTAATAAACTGTATATATTTTAATATACAATTTAGGGATTTATAATAATTCAGGCTGAATGTCCCCAAATTAGTGACTGGCTAGTACATTGAAATCAACCCAAATAGCTGAGTGCTATAAAAACTTTACCTTATGAGAAGCAGTGTGGCATAGTGACTAGAGAGCTGGTGTCATCGGGAAGAGTTGGGTTTAGTCATACCCTTCTGCATAGTGGTTGGGTGACCCTGGGCAAATTAGATAACCTTTTCAGGCCCCAGGCAACCTGCTGAAGTGCTAAATTGCAGAGCAGGTGCTGAGCTGCTTTGGTAGAAGGAGTTGATACCAATAAATTACAGGTCTGTTGTTGTTTTTTAAAAAAAATATTCCTAGCAAAACTGCCTAGCATAGTGAAGAAAAGCTGGTCTTGGAGTCATAGAGACTTGGATTCAACTCCTCTATTTCTGACACATGTTGTGTGTATGATAATGGGCATGTCATTGAACTTCTCAGGTCCCAAGCAACTGTAAGACTTGAGGCTGTTGACCTGTTAGGAGAATTTCTACACATATACAGTTCTCTGTAGCTGCCTGCTCTAGGCACCTTCCCCATTCTCCCTTGCCGCTTCCTTCTTCCCACAAAAAAAGCCCAGGCTGGGCAAAATATTTGCTCTCTGTTCTATAAGAATAAGGGAGGTGCCAAAATACGATTTATAACCACTGGACTTCACGTTTGTTCAAAGAAACCTTTGGGTTTTTACTAGAGAGACAAATATGTAGCATTTAATGAAAACTCACATTTCCACTATGAAAAAATATTTACATGGCAGAAAGAAAAGTATTATGTCTAGTTATATTGTCACTGTTTCATAAGTAAAGGCAATTTGAAAGTAATTGACAAAATTGAGAAGATCTTGAAAGAGCTGAAGTATAATTTCTGTGCAAGTCAAAATTGAATTCAGCCAACAGGGTATACTGATAGCAGAACTTAGCCTAGGTCATCTGAGGAAATGGAGCAGTAAAGAAAGGATTTGTGAAAAGGATAAATGACAGATGATGGAAGTGTTCAACCACTCGGACATAAACTGGGCCACAGGATGTTAAAAGATTATCAGCTGACCTCTAGGTTTGTGTACGTGGTCGGGGACTGGTTGGTTATACAACATGGACTTTAAAGGAATGAACCAGAAAGGAAACGATTCGTGTCTGCCTTTTGAGTAACACAGAGGAAATGATTGTAGATGTTGACATAAGAGAATGCTTAAGGGAGTGATAGCCATCATAATTCAGTTAGATTGTAATTAGGAATAAAGTGAGATTCAGAAAGTAAAGCTAAGGTACGGTGATTACCGAATTAGAGCAGAGAAAATGTTAAAAGAAAGACAGAGTGAAAGTGTAAAGAACCTAAGGAAGGAGACAAAAGGGAAAAGTAGAAAGTGTTGAAAAATAATCTGTATCTATAAATAGTTAGCAGAATTTTTCTTTTTGTATCCAGGGTAAATGAATTACAAAATGTGATTGAAAGCAAGGAAAATATCACGTGAATAATAAAATTCTGCATGCAGAGGAGGAACTGGAAAGATTACAGAATGAAGTTAAAATAGTGTAAAAATGATAAGAAAAGCAATGTTTGGCAAAAGAAAGTGCTCATTGCACAATAAGTTAATATAAATAAAGTGAAAGTTTTCAAGAGCATATTGAATAAGAGGCCAGTGATGGAGACAACCATCCTCTTAGTTACAGGAAGGGTAATTTATAGGTTGAAGAAGTAGCCACATTGCTAAAAAAAACTAATGCAATTCTTTGAGGTGACAGGAAGTAGGGATTGACCTGTACATCTGGCTTTTATGGGAGGGATAATCTTAGAAACACTAACTAGGGACAAGGTAAAGGTCATGATTGATTTGAGATTTAAGAAATTGTTTTCAAAGGATCAAATCCCAGTAGAATGTATGCTCCTTGAAGGCAGGGACTGTTTTCGTTTTTATTTTTGTATTTCCAGCATTTAGCATAGTGCCCTGCACACAGTAGGTGCTAAATAAATCACATCATGATTGATTTTCTGGGACATTGAATTTGAGGACTTATGAGAATTGTCACGGCAATCTTATATAGGTCTATTTATTTCATTTGGGGAAAAGGTGTTTTGGAATGAGGGATGGACTTCAAATCAGAAGGTCTGGGCTCTAGTAAATGGAAGGAATACAATAAGAAGATAATCTCCTTCCTTTATAGTCCCTAGAACTTGGTAAAGGAGAGGAAAGAGGATACTGAAAAGAAAACATTTTAATTTCCCTGACCAGTGGCTTTAGAACCAGGCCACCTAATCAAAGGCCAGATAATGGAGAGCAAATACAAACTTGAGAATACACACACACACACACACACACACACACACACACACACACACACACACACACATACACAGACACACACAGACACACGAATGATAGGAGAGATTTGCTTTTTGTTCTTTCTTAAAAACAAACAAACAGAACTTTATTGATGCCTTTAAAAAAGCTGATCACAGTAATTTCTTTGTTTTTCTTTTTTTGGAAGCAACTGGAGTTAAGTGACTTGCCCAGGGTCACACAGCTTGTATCTGAGGCTGGATTTGAACTCAGGTCCTCCTGACTCCAGGGCCAGTGCTCTATCCACTGCATCTCCTAGCTGTTCCCACTTTCTTTTTGATCACAGTTTCTGGATATATTGTCCACATTCCACCTCTTACCATCCTGCTCCCGTGATGCTTACTTTATAATAAAGAAAAGATGTATGAAAAATCCAACACAAATGATAAGGCTTGACAGTATATACAACATTCTGCACCCATAATGCCTCACTTCACCAAAAAGAAGAAACTTCTTTGAGTCAGAGATTGGTTATTATAATTACTCAGTGTTTTTTTTTTCTACTTCATTTTGGAGTTTTTTTTTTCATTTACGTTATTGTAGTTATTTTGTATATTTTTCCTGGTTGTGTTTATTTCCTCTTGTATCAGTTTACATGAATGGTTCTATTTTTTCC